AAAGTTCCACATGAGCAAGTGCCCGCCACTCCCTGTGTCGTTGTCTTACTACTGGACTTGCAGCCAACACAGAAATGGAGCACTTCATAAAATGCTACATTTCTCCCGTTAAGTCCACAGTATATTTCCAAGTCACTGACCCACAGGTCAGCCCAGGGTCTTGGTTCCGTTGTATTTTCACTGCTTTTTAGTCTTTGTTTCAAAAGTGTATGAGGCTACGTACAGGGCTCACGGAAGTGCCCGGCGCATACGCATGAGGACTTAAGTTTGGATCCTCAGCACACTCGTAAAAAGCCAGTTATAAATGGTGCACAGCTGCTAACCTGAGTGCTGGGGGCAGGGCAGAGACAGGCAGATGCCCTTGGAGCTCAGGGCCAGCCAGTCTAGCCAGTCAGTGAGATCTTGGCCAGCCAGTCTAGCCAATCAGTGAGATCTTGGCCAGCCAGTCTAGCCAATCAGTGAGATCTTGGCTCAGAGAGAGACCCTGTTTTAAAAAACAAAATGCACAGCAACTGAGGAAGATGGCCCATGTCAACTTCTGGCCTCCACATATGCATGCATTGGGGAGTGCACCTGCACATACATGTGGGAGTCTCTCTCTCTCTCTCTCTCTCTCTCTCTCTCTCTCTCTCTCACAAATAAGCTACGTTTGGGCCTAAGAGCTACTTTGCTGTTCCATTTTCTTTATGAGGCTCTGTATATACATTAAATATGAGGCAAAAGCTGATGTTCTCTTCATATTGACCTGTCTTACGTCAGTTGACTTTTCAGACGCAGCCTCAGAAATGAAGGTCAAAGGAAGCTTTTCCTCCCTCGGCATTATTGACAACAGTCTTCAGTGTTGACTGAACAGTGAATAGCTTACGTATCCATATAATTGCTCCATAAATCCTCACAAGTCTTTCCTCTTTACAAATGGAAACCTTCAGGTGTGAGTTCTAGGTGAAGGACACTGAACCAGCTTTTGTGTCAACTTGCTTCTGACTATCAGACGATATAGCTGCCTTGAATACACACAGAATGTTATCGTAAAAATTAGGTGCTAGAAGACGGAGACACTGACTTTGCCTACTGGGGGTTTTTATAAGTTTCCGTTGTTTTGCATCTACAAACAGTTAGTTTCAGAAAAACTTCAACACATTTTGCGTGTTTGTCTGACAGCAGTTCACCTAAACAGTTGGTTATTTCCTACCTCACCACATTTTGCCAAAGTGTTCTTGATTTTCTGTTTCCTAGAGCATTAATTTCTGATTTTCTCTTTGCCTCTTTACTTCCCTTCCTCTCTCTCCCCCACCCACCCTCTCTTGTCTGGCCTAGGCTGGCCTCCAATTCACAATTCTATCCTAACACCAGGCTTTCTTTTATTACGTTCTATTTATTGTTCTTTTTCTAAATGGAGTAGTGACTACTTTACATTTAAATCTTATAACTTACGCATTTTCAAGTATACACATCCCAGAAGATGCTATCCCTCATGGCTTTCTTGGAACTGGTGGCCTGCTACATGGCCCTTACCTGCTTCACTTGACACTATGTCCTGATAGTTCACGTAGCTACATTTGTTTATGAAATGTTTTCACTGTGCCCCCTTTCCCTCCATTCCCAGCCTAAGACCTAATGCTGTGCAGGAAGCGTTGTGCACAGACCCGGGACCAACCCTGAGTCATGCCAACTGGTGCCAGCTCTACTCCCCAGAGCTCATTTACTCATCTGTATGATGGCAGAGATACTAACTTCCAATTTCTCTGTTCATGGAAGACACGAGTTGTCCTTCATTTCTTTCATTTTCTGTCTCACTGTTGTAAATAAATGAAGAAATTCGAGTGGACTTTTTCATAAAAAGGAATCAGAATGACTATAAACTCTTAAACAACAAACCTGATCCAACAACCCCGAGGCTTGATTCTGCCATCAGTTACTTCTGTGCCTTGGTTTCTAGAACTATGAAGAAAGAAAGATTGATTGGGTTGATAATTTGCTATTCATTCCCTTATTTTAAATTTCCACAGTCTTCGAATATACTGTGATTTAAAATATTATAGTTTTCATGTAAAGGGAACTTCATTTCCAGACTTTGTACACTGTCATTCCTTGGGCTCTACTGATTTCAAACAACTAATGTGGCTTACAAAACAATTTAAGAGTAAGAGGGCAGCTAGGAGCCCAGCTCAACTCTCATATTTAAGTCTTGACTAACAGTGTACTCACACACTGTCTCTTGAATCCACCCAGGAAGCATATTTCTCAGTCAACCCAAAAGAGTATTACTAAGTGGTCTGGAGAGGAATGAGATCTGAGCTAAAAGTAAATTTGGCAAGATGGTGGATTAATTATATTGAAATAGATTACTTTATCATGGGATTTCTTAGAGGATTTACAAGACTAAAATGTATTATGAATCTCCAAAAGAAATCCATCCTCTCCCAAGTTTAATTCTGACTACAAACCTTTTCTGCATGGAACTTGAAAAGTAAACATATCACCCAACATTTATGTGGAATTAGTGCAAATAGCAAAATAGTTCTTAAAACATCATCTTTCAGCTGGGATGGAGATCTTTTTTCCTAAGCCATCTTTAAACTGATTAAGGCAGAACTCAGCAGTGGAACTATGAGGGCTCCCAAAGTTTGATCCCCATTAATGCAAAAACAACACACAAAAAACAATTCCAAAACACAAAAGAAGCACTGATCCAGGGGATCATAGGCTGTATTTCAGAAATCAGAAACGCATTATCTTAAATATCTGTATTAAGCCACACATACTAATTTAATAAATATTAAATGGTACAAATACTGCTTAGGATTGTAAAGATATAATATCATAGGTCAAGCACACTGTGGTCTCTAGTAATACATTTTATTATCTTTTGTTGGTTTTGTGTTTCTGCAAGTAAAGTTTCAGTGTCTAGCCTCTGCCTCCAGAGTTGGAAGCACAGAACCGGAATTAGAGGCATACAATGCCATAACCTACTCTTATTTCAAATATTACAGCTTATTTATAAATAACCATTTTCAGTCACCTTTGTGAAAAAATACATATGATAAAAGTTTGGGTTAATGAAACTATAAACTCTTAAACAAAAAACAAAATTTAGAGTAGGAGGAATCTTACTCTAAATTATTCTTTCAAATGTGTCATAACAAGTGGTATATGTACCTACACTTATTTAAAAGACCAGGAAGGCATCAGAACAGCAACTAAATCTTACTGCTTACAAAATTAAGCCAGTCAATGCACCATCCCCAGCAGGCGTCTCAGCAGCACCACTGGCCCACCCAATTCGCTAATTGTAAAACTGTCTGCAGAAACAGAACTGGCTCAAAACAGCAATGGACTTTAGGACTTGTTCTTCAGTTAGTGGTGGGTGGATGCCGGCTATTGTGCGAGCCGATTTGCTGCCTAAGCGGTAGAAATCACAGGAAAAGTAAACACAAAGGCGTTCAGAGCAACCCTCAGAGAAGCAAAGCCATTTCCACCAGTCTCCTAGAGGAGAGCACATCCCCAAATAAACGACTTGCTCTGTCAGAAGAAGTCTGATGGAGCAAACGGGTCCGCCTCCCGTGAGAATGGAGTCTTGTGCCTGAGTTTTCAAATCTCAAAAATCAGGAAGCATGGTGAAGAAAACTCAAGATACAACTTTCCCCAAGGAAGGAACAGAGATATTAAAAAGATGACGTACTGTTTGTAGAACGCACACTTCTATTTGTTACTTCCGGAAGCCCTAAGAACTCATTATAAGGAGGAAAATTGGGCTCAGAGAGGCATTGGCAGCACAAGATTGTGAGAACTTTGGGTCACTGGGGTGTTTTTAGGGTGATGGTGTTGTGTGTGTCATGGGCCTTAGGAGGAGACATGGAAGGCTGACACATTGAGGGGCTATGAAATCAAGTGGAATGGTGAGGGCACACCCGATTTGTCCATGATTTTAAACTCAAGCTGAAAAGACATAACCTGACCGTTCATGAAGTCAAACACACCCCTTTATGCTTTTATCTCTCTCAGAATGAAAATACTTGATTTTAAAACATTAAATGGAGTTGTAGCATTACCCAGTTACCTAACTACACAGCATTGCCATCTTGTGGCCTGAACAAACTACAGCTGCCACTTTGGGGGGGGGGCAAGGGTCCTCACAGGGCTCTTGGCTGAGGGCACTGTAGGAGCAGTGATCATGGTGGGTCAGGAATCATGCCAAGAGCATACACACCCGAGTAGAGCAAGCATATACCAACGTTCAGCTACAGGGCTCACTATCACTCAGTCACAGAACCCACTCAAACATTCGGTTAAAGGAAACCAGAACCTGTTCTAGATGAGCGAGCAAGATCCAGGCCTCAGGCTGAACAAGAGGAAGACTAAGGGACAGGGGTGTAGGAACAGGCCTACAGAGGTGGAACAGATATGCTACCAAGGGAGGTTCCCAGGATTCTAGAGTAAATACCAGGAGCAAATATCCCTTGGGGCCTCTTAAGTTGAATCCAGGACCTGCTTCTTTGACTGACTTAGGTAGCTGTCCCCTTCTTTTGCTTCTGCACCCAGGCCATAGGCCGAGTCCATCACCAACATACCAAGAGAACAGGAAAAAACCACGTCCCAAGGGCTTCCAGAACCATGCCTCTAAGGCTTCCTGGACCACGCCCCCAGGGCTCCCTGGACCACGCCCCTAGGACTTCCTGGACCACTGTTAGAATCCCAGACTACTTGCTCAGCCGTCTCTGCCTCTCCATGGTTACTATCTCCAATGAGGCAACAGTAGAAAGAAAACAGCTGCTAAGTCCTTTTTGACCCATTTTTGATCAAATAAATATAGAGACACAACATGATTCAGTAAGGGACAGTGGGAAAACGGGAGGATGCAATTCCAGAAAGCCAAGCGTGTGGATCTCCAGAATTCACATCACAGGTTGAGTCATGCAAACGCAGCTTGGTTCACATTCCCCTCAGAAAAATCTTCCCAAGTGCAAATCTCTCAGCAGTCAGCAGCTTCTGACTCTTACCTATAATGAAGAGAATCTCCACAGCGATGTCACTGACCGTGGTGCTCCTGGTTGTGGAGAGATCGTCATTTCCAATGAAGCACACGTTGTAAGGTACAGTCACGGCAACATAAAACGTCGCCAGCAAAATCAGCCAGTCCCAGCCAGCTTTAAAAGTGCTAAAATGCAACAAGATGAACTTGGACTTTTTTGCATCAGAAACTTTATACTCTGGAAATGCTGGTTTATCTACAAAAACATTCTGGGGATAAAGAGAAGGAAAAGAAACAGTATTAGAAACAAAGATTACACGGCGATAAATACACGTTGGGAATGGGACTGTTTATACACACAATGTCAAATACTTTACAGGTGATTTTAAAAACCTGACGTGTACCTACCATCCGGTGCTCCGTAACTGTGCTGTGGTGGTTAGCCATGGACTTCATTGTCATGATACAGTAAAGAAATGCGCCCGTGTATTTGATGTTGTGTTTGTATGTCTGAGATTATTTTCTTATGCTTGATTCCTGTACTTTACTGTGTTTTAGGCCAACTAGAAGTCACTGTAATCTCAGCAATGCCTTCCTATAAAATACTTAGCCACACTGATCAGGATGGCAAAATTAAGATGGAGAACACAGAGGGGCCAAAAAGCAGATCCCACAGTTACCTGCTGAAACATCTGTAACCTTAGTGTTGGTACCAGCAGTAACTGCACAGCTGTGGATGCCCTAGCCCTTATCTGCCATATCTGCTTCTGTAAACACACTGACCATTTAAGGAATTTCCTCTACTGGCTTTCAGACATGTAGACATTTGTACTGAAAGTCACGTAGAATAGTTAAAGCTCTGAATGCCATAACTGTTAAATGACATGAAGGGACTGGAGAGGTGGTTCAGAAGTTAAGAGCACTGGCTACTCTTGCAAGGACTGCGTTCATTTCCCAGCACCCACATGGTGGCTAACAACTGTCTGTAATTCCAGTCTGGGGGGTCCAAGGCCTTCTTCTGACCTCTGCAGATACTGCACCACATGGGTACACTTACAAACATGCAGGCAATACACTCATACACACAAAATAAATTTTTTTAAAAAGTAATGACATCAAAAACCCTGCAAAAGTTTATAGATTTCTGTAATTGGGACCAGAACTTTAGCGTGTTAGCTCTTCTGGGTCTGCTAGTGTAATGAGTGAGTTCTCACAGGGCTGGAGAGATGGTTCAGTATTTAAGAGCACTCACTGCTCCTGCAGAGGATCTGGGTTTGAGTCCCAGCACCCACATGGCGGCTAACAACCATCTGTAATTCCAACTCCAGGGGATCTAACATCTTTTTCTAACCTCCAGGGGCACTGCATGACATGGGTATGCTTACATACATGCAGGGCAATACACTCATACCCCAAAAATAAAAATTATAAATAAAATATAAAAAAAGATGAGTTCTTCAACTTTTCCAACAAGTGCTTGATTTCTGGACTGCCTGGTTTTCTATGACAGTAATGGTGGTTCCACAAGATTCCAAGAAATGAAACATTCCTATCACCTACTAGTGATGTAACTACTGTGATATCACAGAGCATCACCTGCTGGTGACACTGGTGTAAAGAATATACTAGATGGTCAGTCACATAAAACATACCATAGACAACTATGCATAGTACAACAATATGGGTGATAGTAATAAAAATTGTTACAGGCTTAGGTGTTTATAATATTTTATTATTTTAGTGTGCACCTACTTATTTTGTAAAATATTTATTATTTTTATTTTATGTGTGTGTCTTGCTTCCTTATATGTGTTAGTGTGTATGTGTGCGTGAGTGCACCATGTACATGTAATGGCCGGAGAGGTCAGAAGAGGGAGTCAGATCCCCTGGAATTGGAGTTATGGATGGTTGTTAGCTGCCATGTGGGTTCAGGGAATTGAATCTAGGGCCTTTGTAAGAACAGCTAGTGTTATTAACCACTAAGCCATCTCTCTAGCCGCCCTACTTATTTCTGAGGCTTACTGTAAAGCCATCATTCACTGCTACACCCACAGCCTCCCACATCTGGTAAACTCATTTTCTGACTGTCACTGACCTGTACTGTCTTTTTTAAAAAAGTTATTTGTATTTTTTAAATTAAATGTATGTTTGCGAGTCTATGTGTGACGTGTGAGCAGGAGTGCAGGTGCCTGTGAAGGTCAGTGTCAGATCACCTTGGAGCTGGAGTTACAGGTGGTGTGAGCCAAGGCTGAGACACATCTAAAGCCCCAACCTACACTATCTAGATCTGTGTGGACAGGTTATATGGTGTTCATGTACCAGCACAACCCCTAATAACACATTTCTTAGGATGAGTGGCCATCTCCCCCTGCTATGTGGCATGTAACTATATTAAAATTGAATCGTCATTGTTGTTAATGTGTTACTGTGCAGAATTTTGTCATGAATGTTTACTGAGCAATCTAGATTAGGGTCATTAAAAGACAAAAAGACTGTTATCTCAAATGTCATGTGAAAATACCCAGTGCAAGTATCATCCTACACATAGCGTAAAAGCAAAGGCATGCTTACAAACTTATTGCTGTGGCGATGAATACCTACTCTATTGACAAGCAGTTTTCAGGGAAGAGTCATTATCTAAAGAATATATCTGACCTGGAATTCTGCTGATGTCAGCAAAGGTAGCTTTTGTTTTCCAGAGAAGGGTAGAGATAACTAACGTTCTAGGGTTAAAGCCCTTTTCTTGTCTTTCAAAAGACAACTCGGTTATACATGCATTCTGTCGTGTTGGTAAAATTTCTAATTGGAACCTCAAACCTCATTACCTTGATTATATGAATATATTCAGGAACTGGGCAGCCAGTGAGTGAGAAATGGTTACTTTAGGGGTTGTTATTCATGTCCAAGAGGGGAAGGCAGTGCTCATTGAGCAGCTAGTTAATGCAGACTAGCTAGAGTTTTTGATGAACAATTCCCTTTGTGTTACTACTGCTATCAGTCAAAGCAGGCTCAACAGCAGGGTGTGTGGGAATTTGACAAGCCCATGATCAGATACATGCAGGTGCAGACATTGCTTTGACCTCAATTAATAAGAAATCCAGGAAAGGCTGCAAGAACCCAAGTGTGAAAGTTGGTTGAATTAACAGACTGCAGCTGTCGATACGTATCACCTGCAGGTCACAGGGCTGTTTTCCTGTCTCAGTCACCGAGGGAAGGCCAGATTAGTATGGTGCGTTTATCCGGAAATGGGAACAGACATGAACTTTACCTCTTAGTGGCAATGTCTGTGATTAGATCGTTCTGTCTCCTCAACATCCATGCCTCCCTTTGCCCAACACATGTCTACTTCCTGTTCATAGTCTCACTTGGCCCTCTTCTTAGTGCCCGTACTCCATGGTGGGTCACTGCTTTACTTCTAGGTGGTTCCTGGGTGCCCACCTGCCACTGTGCTTGTCCCATCCAGCCAAGTTCCAAAGCTGGACTTTGTCATAAAACTGAGGTAATGAAGAATTCTCTTTGGAGTTTTCAAGGCTCAGGAAAGAGCACAGAAGAAGGCTTTGGGTCTACAAGTGTTCATGTCCTCAGGGTCGAGAAAGCACTTGGAAGTGACACAAGCATGTGACACATTGAAATATAACTTTTTCCCTGTTTACTCTGACAAAGTGTCAGGAGCACTTTATGTTTTTGTCTGAAAAGGGATCTTCGCTGTGGTGTTGTCGAGTTTCAGGGTGTTCTAGGGCAAGGATGGGTGCCAGGGGAAGGTGTTTACTGTGCATCATGCTGACTCCATGGAGCTCTGTGATGCTGAGGTAAAAGCTGAGCCATACGTCAGTCATCTTTGTACGTGAACAGTGCAGTTTCCATTTTTTATAGGAAACTTCAAGCACGTAGCTTAAAGTTATCATCAAATTATTACTGAAACATATTTTAAGCTTATACCGAGAATTAAATATCTCAGATTTGACTTAAATTCAGAACCGTTGTCAATTAAAATCCTGAGCACATCATTGCACAATCACCTGAGTGTGTAAATGTGTTAGTGTACATATGTGAGTGTGTAAGTGTGAGAATGTATAAGTGTGTGTGGGGAATTGTTTGCCTGCAAGCATGTAAGTGCACTACATGCATGAAATGTCTGTAGAGGCCAGAAGAGAAGGCTGAATTACAGATGGTTGTTAGCCACCATGTGGGTGCTGGGAATCAAACCCAGGTCCTCTGCAAGAGCAGTCAGTGCTCTTAACCACTGAGCCATCTCTCCAGCCCCAAGTTCTAATAATTCCTGTGCGTGCACATGCGTGTGTGTGTATGTGTGTGTGTGTGTGTGTGTGTGTGTGTGTTTATTGTAGCCAGGATTCTCCTGCACATTGGCCAGTACACTATGCAGTCGTGTCCTGATCATTTTCTCTTTCTGCCGTCTGGTAGCTGCTCTCTGTCTTGCTGAAAAGACCTGACTGCACACCTCGCCTCAGAAGTCAATTCACCTTCGGCACGAGTGTCTCCAACTTGATGGGCCATCCGTAATGACTACGCATTATTTTAATGCTGTACCCTGAGGTTTATAGTTCTGATAATGAACAGCAATTAAGCAATTAGCTAAGGAGTGGGAGTTATGATTTTTTTCAATCAGATTTTTAAGCAATATTTTGTAGTTTGTTGAATCTAATGGGGAAAACACAAAGCTCAGCAAATGCATTTTAAAGCTCAGTGATACCTGTGGTATTTACATGAGTCTTGAGCAAATGGTTTTCAACTAAAGCAAGAAGACGGTGTGGGCTTCTGGCACAACCAGGCCTCTGGATGAGTCTTGTTTCGATGCTTATCTGGGTGCAGGTGTGTGATCTGGCACAGATGTGGCTACCTTTGTATCTTCTGAGAACTTGTCAACAGTCACCAAGACTGACTTGGTAACTTAAGGGAGCTGTAAACAGGAACCTGGGAAGGGAGCCACAGATCAGGTGGCATTAAGTCTCCTGAGACTTGTGGACTCTCAGGAAATCAACATGACAGTAAGGCACAGATACTCATACAAAGCCTGTCATATCAGGGCTGGTTCAGCAGGTGAAGGTACCTGCTGCCAATCCTGAGGACCTGGGTTCGATTCCCTGAACCCACACAGTAGAAGGAGAGAACAGACTCCTGCAAGCTGTTCTCTGGCCTCCTCGTGTGCACTGTAGTACACGTGTACACACACACACACACACACATACACACACAGAATCACAAAACTATATGTAATAAAGTTAAAGCAGAAAAGTGTCACAATAATTCCAAATGACAGCCAACTTGCTATATTGCCTAGTTTCCCCAAACATGACCAGTCTGTCCCAATTTGCAGATTCCCGATACCATACTGCACCGTGTAACATTCTAATCTCTATGGTGTGATAATACTATGATTGAGCACTTTTATTACAGAAAGCCTCATGACTACAGCCCTTCCCAGTTTGTTATTTATAGGGATGTGCAAACCAATGTGAGAAGAGTCTAAGGAGGCCAGGAGGAGTCACTGGAGCCTTCCTTCCGTGAATCAAACACCATTTCCCAGGGAGACTCATGTCCGCAGTGTACGCACATCACCTACATTATTTATTTTCAGTTTGTTCTTTTCTCTTCTTTGCAGGTGTCCTGAGATGTGATAAAGGACAGCTCGGCTCCGCCTTCGGGCTGAGTCAAAGTGGGTCCCTGCCCTTGATCTTCCTTTGGCTCTGTCTGGAGGGAAATAGGACTCGTCAGGCATCAAAGAGTGCATCATTTCAACGTGAGGATAGCGAGTTCTGATGGGTTACTTGCTAGCACACAGTGCTGTATATATTTTCAAACACCTAAGATTATCTGCTTGCTCCTGAGGAAGCTTAATTTAATTTTAGTTCATTACAGTTTACGGATATGTCATTGTTGTACCACCTGCATTGATTTTTAGGCATTAACACAAAATTTGCATGAGGACAGAAGAGCCCTCAAGGGCTCAGCCAAGCATGAAGAATTCCTTTCCCATCCTGTTCTTCCACACCACAATCATGAAAAATGTTGAACTCTATTCAACATTTTTAAAAAGCTGATTTTTCCCAAATAATTTCTAATATAAACATGAAAGCCATATTTATAACTATTTTTGTTTCAGGCCCAAGACTTTCAGTAAATTAACTACCAGGAGAAAGTATGTATATTTAATTTTTTTTGTATTGCTATTCCAAGTTTCATTCAGCAATTTATAATCAAAGCAAGTTCATAGATATGCCTTATCTACCACACACATCCAAACTACAAATATCACGTGAGTATTGTTTAGCATCTTAATGGCTAAAAATATTGTATTATTACATTTTAAAAATCACAAATGTGAATGAACACATAGTTAAATATTTATTTAAACAAAAGTTTTGATGAAGTCAATTACTCGCCATGTTTTAAATTGTTAGTACTTTTTAATAACAGCTCTTTGAATGCTAAAAGCCATTTCTTGTCATATATGTAGTTAAAAATTGTAATACTTGACTTTGTACTTTATATAGTTTAAAACTTAAAATTTTATGTTTTCAAACTTATCCATCTATCTAAATTTGGTGACTAAACATTATGTCTTGAATAGTATCCTGGACAGCTTTAGTGGTCAATGTGACACACCTGGGAAGAGGGAGCCTCAATTGGGAAAGTTCCTTGATTGGATTGGACTGTGGCCATGTTTGTGAGCCATTCATGGAGGGCCTAGCCCACTGTGGGCGGTGCCACCCCTGGGCAGGTGGTCCTGAGTTGTATAAGAAAGCAGGCTGAACACAGAGCAGGGAAGCAAGCCTGGTAAGCAGCACCGTGCCTCAGTTCCTTCCTCTGGGTTCCTGCCCTGAGCTCCTGCCTGGCTTTCCCCGATGATGGAGTGTAAGGTGAAACAAACCCTTTCCTCCCCAAGTTGGTTTTGGGCAGTGTTTTATCACAGCAATAGAAAAGTAGCAAGGACAAATAGCCCAAGTTTTCTCCAGACAAAGTTTATTTTTAAAAAATGATCTATTTTTATTTGCACAAGTATCTGGATTGCCACTATGTTTACTTGCATGTGTGTGGGGCCCATGGAGGCCGGGAGAGGGTGACAGAGCTGTCAAGTGGGTGCTGGGAATGGAACCTTGGTCCTCTGGAAGAGCAGTGAGTGCTCCTAGCTACTGAGCCATGTCTCCAGCTCCACACAAAGACAGTTTTAAAAACATCACTGCATGTTTCTACTGATCTGTCGCCCTTCACTTGCAAACATTTTGACATTTAAATCTTTAATCCAACTGGACTATATTTTCCAACCTCAGGCAAGGATCCAGCTATAATCTTTCTTTCCAAAGTAGTATTGTCCAAAAGAAACAGTGTTTATATTACATTAAGGAACATTTCATCTCATTTTGTCAATGAGTCAACAGACAATTTCAACATAAATACATTTTGTCTATATTACAATTATTAAAATATAAGAAAATAAACACTGTTTCTTACATTTCATCAACTCTCTAGTGTTGTGAATCTCTGGTTCATATATACTCAAACAAATAATGTGGTTTAGCTCTGTGTTGGAGATGACATGTCTACCTTTCATGGTGCCATGCTGGATCTTTGGTTATTATTTCAGTTAATCACTGCGCCACCCCCAGCATATGTACTGCAGCCCTCCACATACCGGTGAACTTACTAAAGGGCTGGAGCCCTGGCACAGGTCATGCAGCTGCTGAGCAGAGCCCAGTGGAGCCTGAGTGGTCTGAAGCTCCTGCTCCCCTCACAAATAGCAGCACATCCCCCTGTGACCCTTGGGCAATGTTCAGGAGCCTGGTACAGAAGGATGCCCAGCTGAGCCTGGGCTCCAGGGAACTACAGGACTAAATGGTCATTCCATGGCATCCCACACTCCACTCTGGGATGATCTGATGACCCATGTATAGGATGTTTATTGCTTGCAAAAGTCTAATATGATGATGTTATGGGTTTGTTTCTTTTTGTTTCATACCTTCAAAAATTGAAAACTAAAATATGCTGGGTTAGGGAGATGGCTCAGAGGTTAAGAACACTGGCTGCTCTTGCAGAGGACCTGGCTTGATTTCCTAGAACCCACATGGTGGCTTACAACTACCTGTAACTCCAGTTCCAGTGATTCTGATGTCCTCTTCTGGCCTCTATGGTCAATGCACATACATGGCACACTGACATACATGCAGGCAAAACATTCATACACATAAGAAATAAAAATAAATATTTAAAAAATAAATAGAATATGCTATATTATTATAGATTCAAATTACTAAAAGCAGATTAAAACCAACAAAATGGAAATGCTTATTTCACTGTAATTGTTAAATGTTCAAATTGTCTTTTTGTGTTAATTTTTTTTATTCTATCAGAATTCTCTCTCTTTTTTTTTTTTTTTTTTTTTTTTTTTTTTAATTTTTTTTTTTTTTTTTTTTTTTTTTTTTTTGGTCTTTTTAAGACAGGGTCTCCCTGTAGTCCCAGCTGGCCTAGATCTCACTATGTAGATAAGGCCGGCCTTGAACTCACAAAGATCCTCCTACCTCTGCCTCCCAAGTGCTGGGATTAAAGGCACGTGTCAACATGCCCAGGCCAGAATTCTTTCAAATTATAATTAAACATGATTATTACTAGAGTAGGAGTAACTTTCGGCGTATTTAAATCTACAAGCAGCCCAAGCTCTTGGACAATGTCTGTAGGTGTGTGGCAAGGTCAGCAGGCTGCTTGTGCTGTTTCAGTGGTTTTCAAACTGCGAAGGAGAATTCCAAAGCTACTCTGAGTGACAGTAAGCCAATTTCCTCCTCATAGAAAATCTAATTAATAGCTGAGATTTTCCAATTCAAACACTGGTAATTTTATCATCTTTATAAAAGGGGGCACACAAAGGGAAAGTCAAAGAAGCATGTTTGCCTTAGTTTTGGCTGTAAGTGGAAGAGAAATACATTCCCTGAAATTTGTAGCTACAATTGACCCTTCCATTATTGGCTCTGAAGAACCATTCTGCTTACGGGGCCTAAAACCTCACATTTAGCAGGGTCTTGAATTGTTCCTCATTACAGAAACAGGGAAAAGTGAAAATAATTTATAGAGCAACTCATTCTTTAATACTATATATACAAACTATTTCATGACATTTATAACATCCATACGTGACACATGTAACACATATGTGTGTACATGATATAGGTATATACTTTTGTGCATAACTAAAAGGAAATTAAATGTTTATAAATAATTGCAAAGAAGCCCGAAGTGCGGTGAAGAGCGTTGTAAGCCCATCGAACTGGACTTCTGTGCATAGGGTGAAAGAAATAACCCCTGCTTGTTAATACAGGCATATCTCATGAACACAGTATTAGCCTTCTATGTACAAGTCAGACAGAAAGGAACTGCTGGTCCTTTGAGTTTGCAGCTCTGATAGGCTGGTACAGAGAAAACACAGATGTGCAACAGAGTTTAAGGAAAATACCTAAGTTCCAAAATTATGAAGCAGTGTTTGGAGTGGTAGCGCACATGCTTAGCATGGCCAAACCCTGATTCAGTCCCCAGGACCACCAACTAAACACACACGCAAACACACACACAAATGCACACACAAACACTTGCATGTGGACACACTCTCACACATGCATAAACATGTACACACAGGCACTTACACACACATCCACACTCATATGCACATACACTCACATAATGCATACACAGCCATACACAAATATACACAAAAACACACATTCTCACACACATACACAAACTCACACGCAAACATAGACACACATGTACACACATGCATACACTCACACATATGTAAAATCACACTCATGCAAACACGCATATATACACACAGACATAGACAGATGCATACACATGCACACACATGCATACATACATCCACACAGTCACACACATATGTACACACAGACACGGAAGACTATTAGTTATGGATTAAGCATTACTCCATTCCACTAAGTCAGGACTTCTCAGCAAAACACCATCTGGGTGAGAAGACCTACGACCCCTCGAGCTCTACGCGAGCTCTACCGCCAGCTCTACGTCAGGAACTTGGGTTTGGTGCCCACTAAGTCCTGAAAAGAAACCTGCAGTTGCTGTGGACTCTGTCAGATGCGCAGAGCTATCAAGGGGTGTCTGAATTCTCAGTGGCCCCGGCAGCGCCTCCTGCACTTTCCCCTACTGGGAGAGCTCCTTGCTGCTCTGAGCACGCTTTGAGGACGCCTCCTGGACGGCCTTTTCCTCAGATGGGCCAGCTTTCTGCTCCACCCAGAGGGACATTTCTTCTCACTGTCACAGGAGGCTCCTTTCCTCATGTTCCCTCAGATCCCTGTTTACACACGCTTTTCAAAGTGATGCACGTGTCCTTATGGAAATTTAATGCAGATTTTGGGTTCAAGATGGGGAAGAAAGAGCTCACATTCAAAATTACAATAAAAATCAGGAACTTGTATGTTCTGAACCAAAGAACAAAGAGAAAAAGATTTCTAGAAACATGAAAAGTTTGAAAATCCAAAGTCACAGTGAAGGGGTTTAAATCACCTGAGAGGACTGGGGATATAGTCCAGTGGTGAGCACTTAGCATGCAACTAGCCTCAGTACCAAGAAAAAAAGCAAACAAACAAAATTTAAAATCCCTGTTGAATGCAGAATTCATATTACAACAAAGCCCAGCATGCTTTCCTGATAAAGTCCTAGGGGAACAGGAT